AATCAAGGAGAGAAGCAACCTAGAACTAAGGAAAAACTCCCTGACAGTTAGAACAATTAACCAGTGGAACAACCTGCCTCCAGAAACGGTGAATGATCCAACACTGGAAGTTTTTAAGAAGAGACTGGACAGCCATTTGTCCGAAATGGTATAGGGTTTCCTGCCTGAGCAGGGGGTTGGACTAGATGACCTCCAAGGTCCCTTCCAACTTTATCATCATCATCATTATTATTATTACAATTACGAGGAGACAAGATCTGCGCATTATACAAATGGAGCCACTCTGTTTTTTACTGATGAGGTGAAGTATGTTGGACGAATGAAGCTTGCGACATACACAACAGCTATTATCTGTCTTTTCCCCGGAAGAACCACATATACATGAAAAGATGTAATAAAATGGATTAGATATATGCCTCAAAGGGGTGTTAAACTGGGGAACTAGTCATAAAAAGAACTAATTTCTGGATACAATCTTCTGCAGACCTAATAAAGTCTGTTCTCACTACTCTTCCAGAAAGAAACAGTCAGAGAAAACAGCTTCTGAGTATTGCTTCTTGAGAATTTTGTTGCTCTGGATGAGACGCTATTGCAGGGTTCTTCAAACTTGGCCCTTTTATGGCTTGTGGACTCGAACTCCCAGAATTCCTCAGCCAGGCACGCTGGCTGAAGAATTCTGGGAGTTGAAGTCCACAAGTCATAAAATTTGAAGACCCTGCGCTATTGGATCCCAACAACAGTACCAAGAATAGCCATAGTATCAACTTGAATGCAGGTGGTCAAGAGAAAGTAGCAACAGGCCTCTGTGCCTAAGGAATATTAGGAGCTTCATAGCTGAGCTGCAAAAATCCAGAAAACAACCGTTGGATGGCAGCCACGTTTTATATTTCTCTTTACTACCATTTACTGATTTCTCAGATATTCCCTAAGGAAGTTAGCAGCTAAATTTTTTTGCAAATAGAAAAAGGAACCGATCCTAACTGCGAGGATCATCTGCATACTTAACAAATTAATAATTGTTAATAGCAAATATTTGGGTTTGTTTTGAAAAGGAGTCTTTTTTAATTAAAAGCACAAGGGTTGAGGGCTGCCATACACATTTCTATTATTTGTTCATGGTGTTATTCAATCTTCTGGTGCTGCCCGTTTGTGATTGTAGAGAACCAACCTAGAACTAAAGAGAAATTTCCTGACACTGAGAACAATTAATCAGTGGAACAACTTGCTTCCAGAAGTTGTTCATCTCTGTAGGTTTTCAAGAAGAGATTGGACAGCCATTTGTCTGGAATGGCATAGAGTCTCCTGCCACGGGCAGCAATTGGACTAGAACAAGGTCCTTCCGACTCTAAATCCTATGTTCTAAGAGAAGGAGCAGAACCAAAGACAGAAGGACAATCCAGAGAATAATTGGGAACGTTAGCAAGAGTTAAGTACTTGTGCTTTCGTACTGAAGTGTACAGGCTTTTTAATTCAGTGATGACAGTCTGTTTCTTTTCATTCTCACTGGTCAGAGATCATCAATCTGCCAAAGAAGAGAGCCTGCATCATAGACAAGCACAAATAATTTGTCACAGTGGAGGCAATTGTCAGATTAAATAGTATTAACCCAGTCAAGGTTCGGCATGCAATTGGAAGACGGTAGCAGAGTTAAGCTCAATTGTACGTCTGTTTTTCCCCGAACAGAAGAACTATCCAAGATCATTGCCTAGATGGGACGATTTTCTCTCTGAAAACAGACATTTGGGTTTTGAGGAGGAAAGTCCAGGTATAACTTGAGTTCAGAGACTCTGCTTATTTATTCAAGGCTTTTAACAGAGTGTAGCTGAATCCAGAAACTGCTCTACGTAGAGTGAAAACAGAGAAATTAAGAGATTTGGGAAAACAGCTTTGCCTCACAAGTCCCTCCCCATATATTAGTAAACGGAGGAGACATGTTAGCTGAAGCCACACTATACATCAGATTAAATTACCAGGGCACTTAAAATGCATCCCAATGTACAGGTTTTCCAACACCACTTCTCTGTTTTTGTGAGTTGGCCTGAAAGTGTGATGCCTAAGAAAGGAGGACTAAAACTTCAATTTCCTAGTTAGTCCAACACTTTAATCACTGAACCAAATTGGCTCTCATGATTTTCTGCTCTATGTATAATGTTGTAGAGGCATTTGTGGAAAATAAATGCTGTTGGTTACAGCCTAGGAAAAGAGTACCTGGACAGCTACATAAGGTGATAAGACCGCAATCTCATCAATTTGCCTTCTGATAACTGGGTGTTTCTGTCCTTCACAAACATCCATCAAAGGGCCAGATTAGTACACTTCAGAAGAAAATGGAAGGATTCAGATTTATAGCAGGTGGCAGAACTAAGTGACCTTGGCTGATGTTGAAAACCTAAGCAGGTGAAACGCAGGAAAGATGACTGGGTTATAGCATAGATTGGAAAGTTGAAAAAAAGAATTCTTGAAAGGCCTACTTTTCAGATTATTTCTATATTGTTAAACACAACTCTACACTAGGCTGTGTGAGGCTGATCTGAGACTTTATGATACCAGAGGGCATCACCCAGCCAGCTTTAACTTATCTTAAAAAAATAAAAAAGTAATTAAGCAAGGTGAATATTGAAACATGGTTTCTATTTGAATAGACCTTTTTTAAAAATAACACCCTGAAGAAAGGCAATGACAAGCCACTTCTGTGTTGTTTCCAAGATAACACGCTCATTTAGTTTGAGTAGAACTTGACTCTAAGGTAGAGTGGGCAACTATGGGCCCTTCACCACCTGAGGATTTTGCTGGCTCAGGGATCCTGGGAGTTGAAGTCCACAGGTGGTAAAAGGGGCCATAATTGCCCATCCCTTCTCTAAAGAGACTTCGTCTCACTTTAAATATGCAAAACTTAAACACAAATGGATTGTCATTGATTATGCTTTTTCCACTCACTCTACATTACCCATATGGGTGTGCTTGGTAGCCCATTCTGGACTATTGATTTTAAACTGAAGTCAGCAATGGGATAGATCTGGGGGAAAAAATGCAGGTTTTCCTTGAATAAATAGATTTGCAAAACACTGCCTGTTGATTAGACCAACAGTGTCTTGACTACAATAGTGTGTCCATTTTTGGCATGAAAAAAATTAGCCAATGGGAGACTGACTCAAAGACAACTATGACAGTCAAGAGACCAGAAACCTAGGTGGCATGAAGACAGATGGCAGCAACTAGGAATATTTAGCTCCAAGGAAATAAAACCAAGTGGAGTTAATGGGCACTCTTCAAATACTTGAAAAAACAGTGACTTAGGGCAGGGGTAGGCAACCTTGGCTCTTTTATGACTCATGGACTTCAACTCCCAGAATTCCTGAGCCAGCATGGCTCAGCTTGGAAACCTCTCCCTTTCCCCTCCGCATGGCTGGCTCAGGAATTCTGGGAGTTGAAGTCTACGAGTCATAAAAGAGCCACGGTTGCCTACCCCTGACCTAGAGAAAAGGTCCGAACGGTTTGCCCAGATTGTAGGGCACAGAATACTAGGTTTAAGTTCTGCAGGTGCCAAGGGTGTTTCTATTTGGATACTCACTGCCGACTTCTAACAAAGTCCATAGGGAACCTGGCAAGAGGTCACAAAGGGTGATTGTGTGTGTGAGAAACCCTGTCACCACACGGGATTTGACTTAATCACGGTAACTGGGACTGCTGTCATTAATTCAATGAAGTCGCATGAAGTCGTATCTTACTACCCTGTCACTTTCAGGTCCCAATTACCCTCAGTAAGCAAGGGCCACCTGTAATCTTTATTACTTTTTTTTATTTATTTTAAAAACCCAATCATTAATCTTAAAAAAAATTAAATTGAAAATAGAAAACTAAGAAGGGGAGAAGGAAAAACCATCTAATATTTTATACTTCTCAATAGTCACTGGTTTACCAATTTGCTACTATAATGGTGATCACGTCGACCCAGAACATTGCAACTGTCATACATACATGCCAGTTGCCAAGCACTAGAATGTTGATCACGTGACCATGGGGGTGCTGCAATGGTACTGTGAAAACTGGTCACGTCACTTTTTTCAGTGTCACTGTAACTTTGATCGGTCACTAAAGAAATGGTTGTTAAGTTGAGGAACACCTATACAGGCAATCCCCAAGTTGCGAATGTTCCCTTAGTGAAGGTTCAAAGTTACACAATAATTGCCCCCTAGTACTTACGAGCAAGTCCCGAAATTATGAATGTTGCTGCACCACAGCAGTCGTTCACCCTTACGAATGACCGCAGTGGCACTGCAACATTCACCCTGGTTATTCCCTCCCTCCCTCCCCAGCCCCACCCTAGGTCTCCCTAGGCACCAGGCTTTCAATATTCCCTCCGCGAAGATTGAGATCCTTCGCTTTCTTGGCTGCTCCAGGCCTTTGGTGCGTTCAGAGAATGGAGGCCTAAAGTAACGCAAGATCATGTGAGATCAGTGGTGTAAGATCTCACGCCACTGATCTCACGATACTTTAGGCTTTTGTTCTCTGCAACAGAGAACCGAACCGAAGCGGGGGGACACTTCCACGTGCCTCCAGAGACTTGATCTGGGCGTTGGGAGGCCTTTTCCAGGCCGCTGCTGCCCGGATCTGAGGCCGGGGGATGCTTCTGCATGCCTCCGGAGGCTGGATGCAGCTGTCGGAAGCCTTTTCTTCGGTCGAAGTACGAGATTCACTCCGAGTTTTCGAGTTATGAATGGAATGGGCAGGTTCCATTCCATTTGTAACTCGAGGACTACCTGCATTTGTGTTTCAATGAAATATGTTAATCCTGGCCTTTATTCTGGTTTTTGTCTCATTTTTATTTTTAAATCTTGCTTTGTAATGAAAAGTGGTATTGAAATACTTTTAATAATATATAAATAGTATAAATAATATATAAATTCTACTTTTATTTGAACAGAAAAAAAATAACATAATTCGCACAGTGTGCTCCAATGTTTTCAATAGCCAATGAAGGACATTCGGAACCTTAAAACGTAGCTGCATTTGCTTTCTTTTATTAGAAAAAATACTCCAGCAAAGTCTACAATCATCTGTCAATTATGAATGGCATATAAGAGATTCATGAAACAATAAGAGTTTTAAAAAAAATACAAATACAAACTATATCTGAAAACACCTATTTGGCAATGTTATACTTCTTAAAGAAAGAGAACCCAAGCAGTTAAATGACCATTTAATGAAGATAAAGCAGTAACTGAAGTGCTTAAGCAAAATTAAAAACAAAAAGACGAAACAAACGGCATCTGTTATTAAATAGTTACATTGCCACAGATCTTTATGAAATACCATTGTCAAACAACTACAGTATTCTAGAACCGTTCCATGTCAGCAGTGCTTCTGATCTGCACAATAATAAAATTTAAATGTTTGTGAAAACATTCTAAATCAGGGGTTCTCAACCTTGGCAACTTTGCTGGCTGAGGAATTCTGGGAGTTGAAGTCCACGAGTCTTAAAGTTGCGAAGGTTGAGAACCCCTGTTCTAAATTCACCAGGAACCAAACAAGCATTTTACCTTCATTAAGGCAGCTCTCCTTATACAATTGGGGGTAGGGGGAACCACCCCAACTTCCATCTCCCAAAACTTTAGACTTTTAATTTATTTGCTGTTTAATTAAAAAAAAATAGTGTAAAAATGTTGCTGTAGTAATGCAAAAAACAAAAAAAAAAACAAAACACCAATAAAATAAAATAAAATTAAAAAAAAATCCTCCTAAACAGGAAGGGTTTAATCATGCAGTCTGACTGCATATAGCCACCTTATTAAGTCATTTATTTTACATTTGTTCCTTCCAACAAGCAAGGAAAAAGATTGATTTCATATCCATGTTCAGCAGTGAGGTGCTGTAAATCTTCTATGGATATTCTGTATCCTTCAAAGATTTCTGAAAGGATATTTTATGTGTTTTGTTCTTATAACAGTAGTATAGAGTCTCTTAGAAATCCAAGAGACATATTATTGTTAAGAAAGGTGCTTGCTTTAAACAAATTCTGGCAGCGCTAATGACATAACAATATCCTTCAATATTATTTCTACCATAATATATACATTTTAACTTCCATGCCTCTAGGAAAAAACATCTACATTTTGCGATATAAAAATATATTACAAATCTGCAAAACTATTTACAAGCAACATCCCATTCTCTATATGCAACTTTTTTTTTTTTTGTCTCAATACAAGACAAACAAAGTACACAAGTTTTCTAGTCCTGTAGGGTTAAAAAAAATCCGCAATTCCTTGTTTAATAAAGTGAGGAAGCAATTTAATTCTTTTCATAGCCAACTTTGGTGCATAAACGATTGTATTTTTAAATGCTTCTTTTTAAAAAATACTTTCTTTTTTGGGGGGGGGACAAACAGAAACATTTAAGCCAAAAGAAGGGAAAGGGAGACAATATAATCTTTAAAAGCCAGCTGGAGTTTTAAAAGCCAAATAGAATATAAAACCAATGTTGTTTCTTTCTTTTTTTTATAGATATTATTATAGTCTGATTAATATACAGTAATATCTTATGAAGAGGATCGGATATACAGCAACACGTAACACTGATCAACCTCCTCTGAATATATATATTTATATTCTGCTAAAAATCAACGTATGCCACCACCATTTTGCTTAAACATGATACCACCACTTAAGGTTATGTGATTGGACACAAGTTCACTAAAGTGACAATGGAGACGCTTCGCCAAGAATTCTCTCTAGCTGTTGCTTATCAGTGATGAGATTTCAAGAGTTTGCTTACCAAAAAAGAAAAAAGAAAAAGTTAAAACGTGAATAACAACGGCCAGGATGGTTTTCACCTGGCAATTCAGCGATTGCCCGTTCATCCAATACAACTTTCATAAAAGTCACTGAAAAGAAAAACATTGGTGATGCACGCTAGAGAAGCTTTTGCTTCACCTCTTACTGTACCATCCATTAAGGTATGTTAGACATTTATATATAATATATTCCATAGATGCTTCAACTTCATTCACAGAATGGTTAGACCAATCATAGGCTGGCAGCAGTTGGGCACAGAGGGGATGGGTGTGCCTTGTCTGTGTGGGTTATGTGTGTCAGTGGGATGAAGGTAAAGGACTCAAGGAATGTGCAATTCTAATTCCATGGTCAGTGCCCCCACCAAGTCGACTTCTACCTCTTCAATCTCTTCTGTGGCATTGTTCTAGAAGGAAAAGGAAACACAAGCGTTGGTGGCTTCTCAAGAAAGTTTAACTTGCCCTGGTTAACAGGTTCTCCCTGTTGGGAATTAAGACGGCATTACGGAAAAATACTTCTACTGTCAGGAAAGAGGCTGGTGTGTTTTCTGAGGAGACGGCCAGGTTGAAGTCAGTGGGAAAAAGTTAAGTATTCAAAACATCTGGAAGCAGAAGGAATGCCATATTTCTGTTTATTCTTCAGATACTGATATGGATGATAACTATGCGATACTATCTTTCAGAAAAGAGGGTAAAGGACCCAACAGAAAATATTCATAATAATCAAAAACAGACTCACATCGCTCACTTCACAAAAAAAAAAAAAAGATTAATTAAACTTTTCATCTTTCTCACACTGAGGCTGAGGCCGGTATGAAGTTTCAAAGCTGTATTCATCGCAATATTTTCCATTATTTCTAATGGGAACATCTGCCTTGTTCCCACTTGTACCTCTGACCAAGACTGCAATTGCCAAAAAGTCTTTTGTGTATATCCTCAAAGCTTCATATATTTAATTAAGAAACGGACTAAAAAGGAGAGGATTTCAGAAAGTGGTGCCAGGTCTGAACTGTGATTGTACGTTATTGCACTGTACATAATTGAAGGCTCAAGAAAATGGTAAGGGCCACATTGCTGCTTTATCATTCATATTGCAAATTTAGCCATTGTGATTACTTCTGTTCAATAATACTTTTTAACAGCATGTATTTTCCCAAAACAAAATTTAAATGGATTAATCTCAAGTATGAGAGGTAAAAGGTAAGCTAAAAGGGACTCAGATGAGCCTATAGTATACATTTCTATAAACATACTGCTGTGTATAGAAGATGTCAGAATGAGGATGATTAGCCTCCATTCACTTAACAACAATTCCACAGTGTTTTGGGACCACATCTCTCCTATCTCTGCAACCTGAGATAGTCCTTGACTTACAACCAGAATTGGGAGTAGAATTTTTGTGGCTAAGCAAGGTGGTTGCTAAGTGAATTGCAGCTGATTTTACAAGCTTTTTTTTTTTTTTGCCGTGATTGCTAAGCAAATCGCTGCAGTTATTAAATGAATCACGTGGTTGTTAAGCCAATCTGGCTTCCCTGTTGACTTTGCTTGTTGGAAGCTGAACGGCAAGGTCACAAATGGTGTTTGTGTGACCCCAGGACCCTGCAACTGATATAAATACATGCCAGTTGCCAAGTGCCTGAATTTTGGAGATGACCATGGAGATGCTGCGATGGTTGTAAATGCAAGGACAGGTCACTTTTTTTCAGTGCTATTCTACAGTCAAATGGTCGCTAAATGAATGATTGTTAAGTCAAGGACTACCGGTAACGGCACTTATTAGGCACTAGAACAGGGGTCTTCAAACTTGGCCCTTTTATGACTTGTGGACTTCAACTCCCAGAATTCCTCAGCCAGACACACGTGCCTGGCTAAAGAATTCTGGGAGTTGAAGTCCACAAGTCATAAAAGGACCAAGTTTGAAGACCCCTGTTCTAGAATCTGGAGCTTCTAACATTTAAAAGACCCAATGGCAGCAAAATATTAGTTATATCTTTGACGATAAAATCATAAATCAGTTCTTTTCAGATTACCTTTGGAGGAAAAAAGTACAGAAGATATAGTTATGGACACTTATAGAGTCTATGGAAAGTCTCAATCATCCAGGTCATGGTTGTCCCAAAAATGCTTTGCCAAAAGGCGACTGGACTTTCTTATTTTTTTTCCTTGAAAACATTTCACTTCTCATCCAACATCTCTGAAGTTGAACTGAAGAAGCTTCTTGGATGAGAAGCGAAATGTTTTCAAGGGAAAAAAAAACCCAAGGAAGTCCAGTTCGCTTTTGGAAATGACATTTAGTGTTTTCACAAAATCATACTTATGAAAAAAATATATAGAATCTAACTGTATAGTAAAGTTCAAAAGTAAATTATGATATGTCCCCATCCTAACCCCAAAATGAAAAGAAAAGAGGCATTTAATTTGTTTAAATGGCACGGAGCACTAAGATCTTAAAGTAATACTACATGTATTACAGGCTGAACAGAATGCGATTTTTTTTTTTTAAAAAAAAGATAAATTTGGACTTTAAAAAAATTGGTATACAAACCAGCATGGGATCTTAAGAGAAGTGATCTTTCAGGATTCCACTGAATGTACCTCCTTTACTAGACTTTCTGTACACCAAGCACAAAAAAGTAAAATACACTTGGTAAATACACATATTTACCCGCCAGAGTTTTAAGTTCAAAAGCAGTCATGTGACCTCAGGCCTTGAAAATTAACTTCTGGATGCTGTCAAAGTAATGAAATGTTTTTTTTCCCTCTAACATCTGCCAAAAACATTAGTGAAGGTGACTTATCAAGGAGGAGTAATACTGACTATTTTGGCTACCTGCACTGAATAGCAGCTCTGGTACAGCTTCAAAAAGTTACGCAAGGCATCAAGTCACATTGAGCAAAGAGAACATCCAGAAATGCGCAGATTTACCTGTATATGTTTGGGTCCAGAAGCAAAGCAGTATCTTTTGGTAGTTTTGATAAATGAACTACTTTAGTTTTTAATTGATGCCTTTCAGTTTCATTTACCCACACATCAGGAAGACTATGAATAAAATAAAATATTCAAGAAAGGTCAGTGATTCGCTCTCTATCATCACTACTGGTAAAAGAGCTGCTGTCAATTCTTATGGGAAATAAAGTCCACATCAATGTTGCACTGCCAAAAAAGATTTAACTGGAAATCTGCTTCCATGTGAGCATCACAATCAGCTTAAATGTTATTGGAGTGTAATTCCAAACCTTTTGTTACAGGACAAGGTTCCCCCCCCCCAATACAAAGGGCTCCACCTCTTTCAGAAAGCAACATTTTATTTCTACTATATTAGCTATGATGATTGGGATATGAGACTTGCCCAAATTAAACTAAACATCTGTAGGCACAAAATTATATACCACCTTCTAGTTCTACATGATTTGTCAGTAGCTCAAACTCTCTATGTGAAGTGATAACAAGGATATTAGTTTGGCTCTGAGGATAGCACTCTCAACAAGGTAAAGGAGCCCCCATGGATTTTACTCTGCTAGTTGTTGCCAGCGCTATCCGAAGTCATTTCCATGGTCAGGTAGCTGGCATGACGTCACAGAGTGCTGTTACCTTCCCATCAAAATGGTGTCTATGTATTTGCATTTACAACCGCTAGGTTGGCAGGGGCTGGGGCAAGGATGGGAACTCACTCCGTTGTGTGGTGCTCGGGTCTCAAACCCAGGCTATCAGCTTTCCAGCTGACAGGTTCAGGGCTCTTAACCGTTGAGCACAATGGGCTGCACCCTAAAAAGAGGCAAAGATGCAAGAACTTGAATTCCTCAAAGCTTCTTAGGGGTGTAGGCTCCTACAGGTTCAGTGTTGCTACATCTGAACAGGAAAGAAGTCTATCTACTGGGAGCTTTTCAAAATCTCACGTTAAGTAGCATCAATTGCAATGATTAATATTATTATTCAAAACAATGGCGCCCCCAGGCAGTGACTTTATTTAAATCTCCACGCATCAGCTCTTCAAATCTAACTAAAAGGTAAATTTTAAATACACTTTGGTTAGTGGAAAACCTAGAACCTATTTCAATTTGGAAACTGAACTACAAGTGTCTACTTTGAAAAGTAATGGCAAATATTTGGAAGACATTTTCTACAGATTTATTTTGGCCAATTTTAAGGAGCTTTCCAGAATTTAATTGAAAGATGGACATTTTATCCTGTCCACTGAACTGAGTTAAACTGAACTAAAATTAAAACAGAATTATGTCTCTGTTGAAAAAGATAGGAAAAAGGGAGATACATGTTCTATATGTGAACATACCGCTTAGAAATTGCTAATTTCTGATATCCTGTACTTTTTGTTTATTGAAAAAGCTAATTATAGTTCAAATGAGCTTTGCTGATTTTAATACTGGTAACGAACATATATTTCCATAATGATTTCAAAGTGCCTTTAGCAACTGCTTCCATGGTGTTAACAAAGTAACAAACGCTTGCAGTCTTTAGAAAAGTTGACACATCATATCCATCTTCAATGAAAAAACTAAAGAAAATTCAACAATATATACTGTATTTACTGATTATACAAATAAGGATATTTCTGCTATTGCCCGTCTTTTCTGTTTAGTTTTGGAAAAGTGCTAATTAACATAGGGCAAAAACATATACCTTCTTTCCAATATGTTTAAACACCTCGAACAAAAATTAACTCAGGCTATGAATGTCTTCAGTATTGTAATAAGAGTCAAAGTCACTTTCCATTTTGTCTTCCTAATGAATATTACTTTTTCTTAATGTAGTCGCAAATGCATGAATTAACTTGGTAAATTTAATTTTCCATCACAATTTTATAACAGTCCTGTAAGCCTGAGTCACACGAAACTCTTTTGTTCAGTATGTTGTAAATTCTGTGTATGCTGTGTGAAATATAGGAAATATCCTAATTTTTGCAGGTGTCCAAATTATGTACTACTGAGTATAAATACTTACATATCTTCTGGAGTCCAGTGAAGCAGCAACTTAACTTTTCCAGAGTCCTCTTTTCTTTTAGCTATTACCTAAAAGCAAACATGAGAAAAGTGACTTGAAATATTTATGTTCTTTCTTGAATTCCCTGTCCTTAAAAATATCTGGTCCAAATGTTTTATGCCCAAAAGTGTTTTAAGGGTTGCAGATTTTTTTTTTCATGGATTCTGATAATCATTAAAGCAGCTTTATTCTTCTTTAAAAACAGTTTGCTACTGAGATGATGTTCAAATTTATGTGAGATGATGCTAATACATCCATACGTTCCCTATTTAATAACTGTTCTCATTTCCTGTAACAAATTTCTGGGAATTGAAGTCCACTCGTTTTTGAATGGCCAACATTGACATAAAGTAGCTGCCTTTCTCAAAGCGTCCATCCCATGTTGCCACCCCAAAACAGCTGGAGTGTATCCAGCTGGGCAAAGCTTTCACACGTTATATATTTTGCATCCTGTGGAAGAAAAAAGTTACGTTTCTTAGCTTGACCCATGTAAAAGATATCAAATTTGTTGTTTGGCCTTCAACTTCATGAATGGACTGCATAAAGAAGTAGCCCAAGCCCCAAATTGGAAACGTCTTGAAGTTCTGCAGAAATATTAACCACAGGATAAAAGCAACGCAGACAAATAAGCTTGTAATTGCAAGTTTCAGACATGTTTCTAGAATTCTGTAACTGATGTACCGGAATTGGAGCTGTTTTCAAAGCTAATGGGTCACTGGGAAATTTAGAAGCACGAAAGATAAAGAGTTGTGGATAACGTTGCTTGAAGAAATGTAGAAACGGGACTTAAATGCCATGGCATAAGAGGGTGCTGTTTAAGCCACTCAAAAATTTTTCAATTTGACTTTTTCCCCTCAAGTGTTAAGGCCACATTGTTAGCGCAGCCCAATATAGGCAAGTCTGGGGACTGAGAATGTTTTGTTTTCTATGTTTATTTTTAAATGTATTTTTGTGTTAATATTGTTAGCTGCCCAGAGTTGTTGGGTTAAGATGGACAGCCATATGTATTATCTAAGTAAATAGAAAAAGTGAGCCTGCCTCAAGCATGGGAGTTGGTAAGGTACAATCAGAAAAGGAACTGATTAGAGAAAGAAACAAAAAACTGTAACCCTCCATTATGTAAAACTGCGTATTTATTCTGGCTTTGGGAAGCTGCCTTATGCCTTAAGCTCGAAAGCTACAGACATTCTTCATTCTTAAAGAGAATCGGAGTTCATCCTAAGTGATTACGGCACAGGGTGTTTTCATAGGAGCTTCCCTCTTCTAAATTATGTTTGAACATTAGCCTCTAATACGAAAAGTAAAATGATGGTGCACTACTATTTTCTTACCCTGCATCCCAAAATTATAATAATAATAGTAATAAAGTTGGAAGGGACCTTGGAGGTCATCTAGTCCAACCCCCTGCTCAGGCAGGAAACCCTATACCATTTCAGACAAATGGCTGTCCAGTCTCTTCTTAAAAACTTCCAGTGTTGGAGCATTTACTGCTTCTGGAGGCAGGCTGTTCCACTGATTAATTGTTCTAACTGTCAGGAAGTTTCTCCTTAGTTCGAGGTTGCTTCTCTCCTTGATTAGTTTCCACCCGTTGCTTCTTGTCCTGCCTTCAGGTGCTTTGGAGAATAGCTTGACTCCCTCTTCTTTGTGGCAGCCCCTGAGATACTGGAACACTGCTATCATGTCCCCCCTCGTCCTTCTCTTCATTAAACTAGACATACCCAATTCCAGCAACCGTTCCTTATATGTTTTAGCCTCCAGTCACCTAATCATCTTTGTTGCTCTTCTCTGTACTCTTTCTAGAGTCTCAACATCTTTTTTATATCGTGGTGACTAAAACTGGATGCAATATTCCATTCTTATACTCAATTCTTATACTCATTCTAAAAGAAAGCTCCCAAAACTTTAATGCAGCATTATTAGCAAAGGTTCAGATTTATAGAAGTATATTTTTAAAGGCAATCTTTCAAAGTATAAAAATGTTGTCAAATGCTAGTCAGGTATTCTAGCAATCATTAACAACAAACTTATATAAAACAGAAATAAAAGGCTGATTATAAAAACATTTTCTAGAAACCTGTAAATTACAAGTGATGTAAAACATGCCTGAAATAGTTTACCTGTTTCCATGTTATTTTCTTAAAATTAAGATAGGTGCAAGATGGATTTGGAAGAAACACCATGTCTGGATGTACCGTAACTCTATTTTCAGGCCTATGGAAAGCACTTCACAAATACAAAAGCCAAGAAAGAGGGGGGCCCAACTGGCCAGATTTTATATTTTATGTATCAATCAAGATATCAAAAGACAACGGTAGAAGAATTTAACTCATAACTACATTGTAAGTGTCATTTAAACGGTCTAGACCATGGGTAGGCAACCTTGGCTCTTTTATGACTCGTGGACTTCAACTCCCAGAATTCCTGAGCCAGCATGGCTCAGCTTGGAAACCTCTCCCTTTCCCCTCAGCATGGCTGGCTCAGGAATTCTGGGAGTTGAAGTCCACCAGTCATAAAAGAGCCAAGGTTGCCTACCCCTGGTCTAGACTATCATTCCAACAACTATGGCCAGAATATGGTCAATGGTATTATGAAAGTTCTGGTTCAAAACATCTGGAGGGCACTAATTTCAATACCCTTTTTTGTGGATTCAGAAGATCTCTCAGAAAGTATTTCACCAAGTAGCAACTATGAACCTTATCGAGGGCAATGGGAAAATCAACAGGTGAAGTTCCTCATGAAGAGAAAGTCCACGGAGGCTATTTTCTAAGCTCCTGTTGTCATCTGGGTGAGAGGAAACTTGCATGAGAAGACTTTTGCTCAGATTCCCAAAGCAGAGGCAAACAGCCACAAATCAGCAATCAAGAGTACTGCTTGATTTGTCTTCAAATGGTTGCAGGAACATTTTCAGAGCAAAGATTCTGACATAGGAATTATACCTTCCGCACCAAACAAACTTTCCCATTTCTATTGCAGACTTTTTGAAAAAGTCAATCTTTACCAGGAATAAGGGTTACATATATGCAAATGGAGTTTTGCTGACCTCTCCTGGAGAACCACAGAAATAACTCAAAAGATATTAGTTACTCTTCCATATTGCACTGTTTAGTTTCAGCCACTAAATATTTTGGAACGTGTAGCACGCTCATACAGCATCTGCCTGCCGCTGCTTAAAGCAGCTGTGCCTTCTCCCAGAATTTTATTGCAGAGTCTTGCTATAATTCTCATTCTCAAATCTGCAAAATCCTCACTTTTATATCCATCTTCGGATATTGCACTTAGATCTCCAGAACCACAGACTTAAGATTTGAATAATAACCTCCAGGCTTTGATTTGGATCCAAGTTCTGGAGTAGAGCAGCTAATTATAGCTAACTGTAATCAGTCCAATGTCAACATACTAAGCAGCAATACCCCTAAGCAGAAATGGCTGCACTGGGGGCTTCTGTCCAAGTGTAGCCATTCGGATCTCGTCTCCTTCCCTATAATGCAGACAATCGATCCACAGTCATTCTTAAGTTTTGCAATAGAAGACTGGAGAAGGGCTATGAAGCACTTTGGAGCCAACTGAAAAAAAGGTGTGTAATTAGGACACTCGTGGATGAAGAAAATTTACGTTAAGTACTAACCCAAAAGAAGGTGGGACACTGGGCAGCCAAATAGTCAGAATCATCCTCTCTTTCTATGACAATCTTGCAAGTGGAAATAAGTGAAGGTGACTAAAAAAATTAAGAGTCGGAGGAAATCCTTTGGATATCTTGAACAATAACCTCCACAAGCCTCATCCATAGCCTAGCTATTGGCAAAGAGGAATATCAATTAAAACGTCACAGGAAATTCTAATAACGATGGAGACCATGCTCCAAAATACACCTGGAACTAAGTAGGAAAGAACAGTCAAATGACTGATAGAGTCATCGCACAATTTCTGTCATCTATTCAACATTTACAAAAATAAAACTATTTTCTCTCATTACTGCTTTCAAGCAAGGTAGGGAATTCTTTCCAATCTCTTTATCAGCTCTGCCCATAGGAAATGTTCATATTTTATTCTCTGCATCCTTCACCCTCTCATCCTGAAGTCCTGTTCTGCTATCTTCTTGTGGTGATGGAAGGGGATTCCCGACAGAGAGATGGGTGAAGCGCACCAGGAATACACACCAAAAGTATCTGTGCCAAGCAGGGTCACCTAAACCATGAAGGTCATGTACATTACCTACCTAAAGCAAACAGGCACTTACATCAGGCAGCAGAGATATAGGAAGACACTGTAGAGATAGATGGTCACTTTAATGACAGCAAAGTTTCAGTGTTGTTGTCACTGTGAATTGTGTCGAGGGGGGGGTGCACGAAGGGAGGCTTAGCCAATCTCATTGCACACATGTTGTACTTTGACAATAAAGGTTGATTTGATTTGATTTGATTCATACTACATGGTAAGTCATAAACTCCTGTGTTTTACCAAGTAACCACATAGTTAGATAAAGTGACCGACAATACACTGTCAGGTAACAAATGCTTAAGTCAACATGCCATTAAGGAACATCTGAGGCTCTTTTGGAGCACTAATGATATTTATGACACTAAACCCTTCAGGTGGTTCAATAGCTGAGGCTGCTGTAAGGAAAAAGAAAATCCAAAGCAGCAAAGACGTAACGATAGTGGGAACACAGAATGTAAAACCACAAATATGGGATGCTCAATGCAGAAAAAGTAAGATGAGCTGATTATATCTTGACATTTTAACCATTAGAGAATCGACACTGATTGGAATTGGACACTTTTGAGTCAGAAAAATCATAGTGTTTTATTACCCAGGACACAAAAATGAAGAAGAAACAGCACCGCTTTAAGTGAGGAAGGATTCAGAAGGACAGGACTTGTGTACAATGCAGTTGAGGAACAAATTAGAATTTAGAATTTGCAGACAACGTCGTTTAAAATGATGTTCATCTAAGTTTCTGCTCCAACCACTGATGCAAGATGACATGTTGTATGGTCAAGCTCAATCTGAAAATGATTGGAGACTGGAATGTCAAAGTTAGAAATACAGGAGGAAAATGTAGCTATGTATGGGGCCAGGAAACAGGAACAACTTATCACCTTCTGGTTTCTTTAGCAACGGCTCATTCTTCAAGCAGAACAATTTCTAAATACTTAGATATCATCAGTTGGAGAATACAGAAGATCACACTGATTATATTATTGGTACGAAGAACTGTAACAGATCAATTAACCAGCAAAGACGTGGTCAGGAGCTGATTGTAGAAAAAAATCATGAACTGATTATGTGCAGGTTCCCTCCCAAGCTAAAGAGGAAGATCAAAGCCAGAAGTTTCCACAATGTAATCTTGAATGTATATCTACCATTTTCAAGAAGAACATCAAGAACTCTCTGAAGTCCTGAACCTCACTGAGAGAAAAATCAGAGAAATTGTGGAATGAAACCGAAGAAGGTATAAAACAGTGGATCTCAACCTTTTTAATGCCGCAACCCCCCAACCGGTCATAAGTCAAGGACTACTCAACCGGTCGTAAGTCGAGGACTACTCAACTGGTGCAGCACCGTTTGCAGAATGGGACTTTTGGCAGGCTCAGCAGGGCAGAGACAGCCTGGACAATTCCTACTGGCTTTTGAAAGCCAATAGAATTAGACTCTATTCAAGAGTTTATTCTATTGGCTTTCAAAAGCCAATAGAATAAAAGGGAGTAGCGCAGCTAAGGAAAAGGGGGGGAAAATGGCGGACTGTGTTGTTTGGCGACCCCCGTGAAATGGTCGTTCGACCCCAAATGGGGTCCCGACACACAGGCTGAGAACCACTGTTATAAAAGGTAAAAATGGAACTAGACTGCCACAGGCTAAGAAATAGAAGACACCAAATTGGATGTCAGTACAGATGACAGAAACTGCTGGGAAGAGAAAGAAACCAAAGCCAAGAAAGACAAAGATCTCAGGAGAAACTTAACCAAACCCAAAAATATAGAGAGCTGTTCGATAAAACAAGGAACAGCATTACAACAGCATCTATATATAATTAAGAAAGAAATATAAACAAACAAACATACATGCAAACAAAAAAAAAATAGAAACAGAAGGGAAAAATACAGATTAAATTTCCAAAAGATCACAAAACTTAGGAGATTCCAATCTCAAACCAATATGCTAAAAGAGGAACAGACAGTAATTCAGAAAAGATGAAATAGAGATGAGAAGAGTATATTGAAAGTACTGCACAATATAAATTTCAACATCCAAGATACCTTTCAAGATATTCCCTACTTAGAAGTGGGTGAGCAGCACTACAAGCTGAAGTCAGATTAGCAATTAGATAGCTACAAGAATTGATGGAGCATCTACAGAAATAGAAAACGAAAGAATCTAATAACAGTTCCAATCACACGACAACAGCAAATCTAGAATGATCCAGTGACTAGCTGACAGATTGGAAGAGGTCAGTCTTCATACCAGTATCAAGGAAAGGAGGCTTAACAGATTGTACAACTACTGCACAATATCCTTAATTTCGCATGTTAGCAAAATGATGTTCAGTGTCACTGAATGCAGATTATAGGCCTAAAATGGAAAAAGAGATGCCAGATGTTCAAGCTGGCTTTCGAAAAAGCTAAAGAACAAAAGACATTGCTGATATGCTGGTAATTGTCACAGAACACTAAAAAGAAGTGGTTTTATTGGCTACAGAAAGCCCTATGACCTTGTTGTCCATATTAATCTGTGGAACGTCCTTAGGAATCCAGAACACCTCACTGAAAGCCATAGTCTGGATGGAACTTGGAAAAATAAAATTGTCTCCAGGTTGAAAAGAGAGTGAGACAAAGCTATATTGCCTTATTTATCCAAAGTATATGCTGGATATATTTTGAGGGAAGGTGGACTGGAAGAAGATGATTATGATTTTAAAATTGGACAAAGAAACATCAATAACCTGCTCTCTGCTGATGACGTTTCTCCGACAGATGAAACTGATCTGCAAATTCCAACAATAAATATCAAGGAACAGATGAAAAAAATGAGACAACTCCATTAATTAAAATCAAGTACCATGTGAAAAAAATGGAGATGATGGTTAAATATAAAGAGATCCAGACTAATGACAACAAACACTGTCTTAGAACTGACAGTGAAGACATTCAGATGGTATATAACTTATGTGCCACACAGTAATATTTGACAGGATAGCAAGGAAGATCTTAGAAAAGGTATTCAGATGCCATCACTTGGCTCTATCTACAACAGTGTTTCTCAACCTTGACAATTTTAAGACATGTGGATTTCAACTTCCAGAATTCCACAGCCAGCAATGCTGGCTGTGGAATTCTGGGAATTGAAGTCCACATGCCTTAAAATTGTCAAGGTTGAGAAACACTGATCTACAAAGAGTAGAATCACGCTAACAATATGACACCCTACAGGAATAAAGGACTCTGGAAAAGGTGGAGTGAAAAGATGTACTCTGGAGAAGGGGATAGTCCTTGACGTACAACAGTTCATTTAGTGACTGTTTGAAGTTACAACAGCACTGAAAAAAGTGACTTATGACCATTTTTCACACTTATGACCTTGCAGCATCCCCATGGTCACGTGATTTTCATTCAGATGCTTGAAAACTGGTTCATATTTATGACGGTCGCAGTGTCCCGGGGTCATGTGATCCCCTTTTGGGACCTTCTGACAAGCAAAGCCAATGGGGAAGCCAGATTCACTTAACAACCGTGTTACTAATTTAACGACCGCAGTGATTCGCTTAACAAATGTGGCAAGAAAAGTTGTAAAATGGAGCAAAACTCACTTAACACATTTCTCACTTGGCAACATAAATTCTGGGCTCAATTATAGTCATAAGCTGAGGACTATCTGTATTCACACTTTTAAATGTTATATTGGAAAAGATTATTGAGAATATCATGGCTAGCTGTGAAACCAACAAATCAATTCAGAATTATCACTTGTAACACAAATGACCAGGCTCAAATTACCATATTTTGCACACATTACACAAAGATCTCACTATTTTAAGAAGTTTATAATGCTAAGAAAAGTGGAAGGAAAGAGGGAAAAATGAGCACCAGCAAGGTGGATAGATTCAATTATAATGACTATGAATGCCACATTAAGAGACCTAAAAGGACGGATCACCTGAAGAATAGCTACACAGTCAATCAGAGTCAACGCTGATTTGATGGCGCTTGGACTGAGTATGAAGTAACAAGTGGTTCTGCATCCCTTTATGCTGTAAGTATGCGTGTGTCTGTATGAACAGGGAAACACGGGGATGGGTTGCATTCTCTGATTCATGTGACAGAAACAAGGCAGGCCTAGAATGCAGGAGCTGCCAGCTTTCTGAGCTACTATTCTATTACCTACCTCTCTACGGGGTCGGCAGCCCCTGGCCAGCTCATGACATTTTCGAGCCTCCATCTTTCTTTTGTCAATTTTTCTGCCACACCAGATTTGTCACCTTGTGTTCTATTATGAAGAGTCATCATATTTATGGACAGAATTCTGAGCCTCTTTACATACTTTCTTTCCAACTTTCCACAAGTTGGAAAAAAAATAAATATATTTAGCCCAGAGAACTATCTGAAGAGTTAGGATTCTACTTCTGAGAGCAGAATTCAAGTTGTCATCTATCCATGGCTGTGTCTAAGGTGCTGGATGAGCCTCTGGGAGACCAAGGTTCTCATTCTTTCACAGCCATGGATCACTCTCAGAACAATCTGCCTCAAATTATAATGGAGAGAAAACTGAAGGCAGGGAGGCCATGTAGACCAGGAAGTCCTGGAGGAAGGATAGGAAATAAATTTAACCAATTAAAATATGAAAATTGCTGGGTAAACTTGGGAGAAATCACAGCCCCTTTATAGGGCTGCTGTTGTTCTTCCATGTTCTACAAGATAAAAAGAGAGGAACACAAACTGCATATATTTTTGGAAGAAGAGCATAGAAGACTTTGTGGAAGATTTTCCCTACTACAGTCGAGTAACATTATCTAAGTTAAATCTGTGGCAACAATGCCCAACAATGTAACTGTCAGTGTAGAAAGGCTGTTTGAAAATACTGAAGATATTATAAACACACCAAGTATTGTAAATGATAATACTTACAGTACTGTGAAATACAACGCTGTGGCCTTTTCCCAAACTTTCTATGTGAGCAGAAAGGTTAAAGCAAATAGCTCGATGCCGTATTGCATCCAAGGTCTGTGCATCAAAGAAGTCATGCGGTCTTGCTAAGGAAGAAAAAAAACAACAACAAAGCAAGCCTTCAACTACAATGCAAGAGTATATGTAACATATTTAAAAGTTCAGTTTTTTTGATCTTACTTAAGGAAGAAAGATTATGCCTTTTGCTTTCACAGCACAGGCTGTAAAGCTCAATATATTCACAATGATCCTATTTTTAAAATTATCAAACTGTTCTTACTAAGAGAAAGTCTTCTGCCAATGTTTCGCTGAAGTTTATCTTTTGTAATTTAAATGCAGTATTCCAAAATATGCATTCAGGTGATAAAGGGTGGGGTTTAGAAGGGCTTTTTCCTCTGAAAAAGCCTTTTAGGTATTTGAAAACTGGAATTACATTTCCCTCTTTTCAAATTAAGCTTTCCCGGTGCATTCAGTGTTAATTTTCCAGTCTCCAAATCAATGTCCTTGATCTTTTCTGGACCTATTCCAATTTAGATTTTTTTTTTTTTCATTTTCAGAATTAGACATAACATTCAAGGAAGGAGCTGATAAACGAAGATAAAGTGAAACTATTACTTCCTGTGATTTGAAAAAAAAATACACTTTGTAATAACATTAACAAAACTACATTTACTTTATTTCGCAACCACATCACACTGCCACCTTACTTACATTTGCAAGCAACTAGTATTACAAGATCATTATTGCAAGAATAACCAAACTTCCATTTAGCACAGTGTTTCTCAACCTTGACAATTTTAAAGCATGTGGACTTCAACTCCCAGAATTCCACAGCCAGCAATGCTGGCTGTGGAATTCTGGGAGTTGAAGTCCACATGCCTTAAAATTGTCAAGGTTGAGAAACACTGAAAATTTTAGCAGGTCTTGTGAAGCAATAGGTTTTGGACTTAATAAACATCAATGCCAAGCTCTCCCAGAACACACAACTCTATAGGTTAGGAAATATGTTGCCTATGTGTGCATTAACGTACTTTCTTGGGCAACCGTATTTCTGGCTTCCAGCTTCTTAGCATTTAAGGCTTGACACTTATTATAAACTGGTTCAGCTTTTGGTACTGCCTTTTTTATCTTTTTTTTTTTTTTTTTTTTTGCTGCTCACTGATTCCTTGGTCGGTTTTTTTTTTTTTTTTTTTTTTTGACTTTCAGCTCCTTGATAAAGATAGACCAAAAAGCTGAATGATAGACATTCCCCGTTTCTAATGGTCCTTTGAATTGAGGTTTCACTGCACTGTTACTAAGCTAGATATCTCCAATGTTATACCTTTGTGCTTAATCTCAGTTAACTTGGCATTACCCTCTGTTATTCTCACTCAGTAAATATACATATATTTTTGTAGCTATGGAAGGTCATTTTCAGATACAACCAACAATTAGGTTAGTGGATGTTCATCCATAAGGTTCCAGAAGCAATTCCTTCATAAAATATTTGCATAACAGCAGATATTCTTTCTCTTTCCAGTTCTCTTCCATGGAAGATTTATCTTTATTCAACAGCTTCTCATGACTGAATAGTTTCATAATACTAACGAAGGTACAATAAATGTAATTACTTACTGCTACATATCAAACAATACAAGAAGTTTCTGGGTTACTGCTAGTGTGAACCACACAGGGCTGTAATTCTACCCCTTGGCCCCAAGACTTTTTTTTTTTTTTTTAATTCAGGTAGCCTGCATATCCTGCTTATTTGTAGAAAATACTTCAACACTAGCTGTAATATAGTTGCAATTATTTGAATCCAATTCAAAGGTGATGAGATAAATACAAAATATAAGAAAGTTAAATTTTCATTTATCACACTGAGCATATAAACGCTACTGATTTAAGCTCAACTGAACCACAATAATGTGAATAGAAAATCTGAATTATGCTTTGCTGCTTTAATAACATTATTTTTTTATGTCCTTGAAGAAGTATTTGATCTAATATTGTTTTCACTGTGTGAACTGCAAATCAAGTGGAATGTCATGGGGAAAATGGGTGCTCACAGACACTTTGAAATTTGAGCTGTTTTTTTTTTTTAAAGATACTTTTTGTGCTAATATTTTTTTCGGAAGGCATCCAAATCCATGTTGGTGAGCTGTACAAATTGCACAGGCTTATGGATCCTAGTTCTCTTCAGTTGTTCAACAAAGAGACTATTTTAACTACCAAATGAGCATATATTAAAAATATATTGAGGTAGATTTCTTTCCCTACTTGCCCACTATAGTTAGACATATCTCATAGAGAAAAACAACAACAGGACAAGGATAACACGTTAGCCGATTATGCATCAAAATCATCTGGCATTAGTGAATTAAATCCAACAATGCTAAGTTTTTTGAAGAATACCTTCATGCAGGATCAAATCACTGAAGATACGGATCACTTCATAATTCTCAACAAACAATGTTATATTTAAACAGGTAGTGGGAATAAGAAAAACCCATTGGTGACATCAGTCAGTGATATATATCGAAGTATTCATATATTACATCTGCCTCTAGCACTAAAAGATGAAGTTAGTCATTACCAAGTCAGAAGGCTGAAGGAAACTAGTAGAATACTCACTGAAATACAGCAAACAAAAGAAGTATTGCAAAGGCTTTAACTAGGTTTATAGGAGGAAACCTGAAGAGTGGCACAGTGGCAACATACTGGAAGAGGTCAATCTGCATATTAATACCCAAAAAAGTTTCTTAACAGAATGAGCAAACTATCATGCAAATAACCTTGCTTTCATAAGCTAGTAAAATGAAGCTTAGGCTCATTCAATGCAGATTAGACACCTACACAAAAAAACAAAATGCCAGATGTTCAAGCTAGCTTTAGAAAAGACCAAGGGACATGAGACCTAATTGCTGATGAATGCTAGATAATTGAGAAAAGACAAAGAATATCACCACGATGTAAAAAATATGTTGAGACTCTAGAAACAGTACAGAGAAGAGCAACAAAGATGATTAGGGGACTGGAGGCTAAAACATATAAAGAACGGTTGCTAGAATTGGGAATGTCTAGTTTAACGAAGAGAAGGACGAGGGGGGACATGATAGCAGTATTCCAATATCTCAGGGGCTGCCACAAAGAAGAGGGAATTAAGCTACTTTCCAAAGCACCTGAAGGCAGGACAAGAAGCAACGGGTGGAAACTAATCAAGGAGAGAAGCAACCTAGAACTAAGGAGAAACTTCCTGACAGTGAGAACAATTAATCAGTGGAACAGCCTGCCTCCAGAAGCAGTAAATGCTCCAACACTGGAAGTTTTTAAGAAGAGACTGGACAGCCATTTGTCCGAAATGGTGTAGGGTTTCCTGCCTGAGCAGGGGGTTGGACTAGATGACCTCCAAGGTCCCTTCCAACTTTACTACTATTACTATTACTATTACTAAAAATAAGTCACTATGTGTTTCATTTATTGCAGAATGTCCTTTGATTATGTCCATCACGAATGTGCTTAGAAAAATGGGGATCCCAGAACATCTCATTCTCCTCACGAGAAATCTATATACAGGTGAGGAAACCACAATGTGAACAAAAGGTGAAACAGAGAGTTTTAGATTGACATACTGAACATATATTAAGGGAAGCCGATATGGAAGAAAATCAATATAGTTTTAAAATTGGAGGAAGAAAAATCAATACCTTGCATTATTCTGATGAGACTACTTTGATAGCAAAAATACAAAGGATCTGCAAGCTCTAGTAATAAATGTTAAGGAGAAAAGTGAAAAAAATGGGACTAAAATTATATACTGTATAAAGAAACTAGTGATATCGTGAAGAACAACCACTTTTAAAAGTGGCAATGGACAATTTCTGCCTTTTAGGATCAACCATCAATAGTAAAGGAACAGTCAAGAAACACAACACAGACTAGTACTTGGTAAAGCACCCATGAAGGCCTTGGAAAATATATTCAACGCTGTGATCTATCTATTACCTACAAAGATCAGAATAATGCAAACTATGGTAATCCCAGTGAAAGATGGAGCTTGAAGAAGCAGGAAGGAAGACTACTGACATTTTTGAACCTTGGGCTTGGAGAAAACACATGAAAATACTGTAGATAGCCAAGAAAACAATCAAACAGATCTCTAAACAAATGGCCGGGCTTAAATTATCCTAGGCTGGATACATTTTGGGAAGATTCGTCTCTCTGGAGAAGACTCTCATGCTGGCAAAATTGGAAGAAAAGAGGACAATCAGCAGCAACATGGATGAATTCAGTTATGGCAATGGATATACCATTAGAAGACCTGAAAGACCAGGGTTTTTGGTCATGAGAAAAAAAATATTTATGTAGCTGATAAGAATAGATAGCAACTTGATGGCACATAATCAAAGAACATATCCAATACTTAAAGCTATAGTCACAGAGAAATGAAAATGCATTCCTGAATTAGCATGCAACTTAACAATGACTTGGTTTATGTATCAGATTCAGCTATAATGTTCTTGACTTTAGCTTAGTGCATTGTGTGAATAGAGTCCCTGGCTATCAGAATATCACAGCTTGAATCAGGAGATGTAACTAGGCAAACCAAGAAAATTCCTCATCCAAACATCCCGTAGAGTTCCAGAGGAGTCAATGACTTTCAGAATATTGTGGCCACGTCAGAATCCTGTAAGGCAGTGTTTCTCAACCTTGACAATTTTAAGGCATGTGGACTTCAACTCCCAGAATTCCACAGCCAGCATTGCTGGCTGTGAAATTCTGGGAGTTGAAGTCCACATGCCTTAAAATTGTCAAGGTTGAGAAACACTGCTGTAAGGGGAAGGAACTTTGATGCAGGAGCATAATTCAGCTCTACATTCTATGGTTTCAATTCCGAATCGTATTTAGGCTTTTACTCTTTTGATTCAAAACCATGCAAATATCTGCCAAGCATGGCAGTTTAGATAGATCCTGATACACAGAAACACATGAATCACTAATGTTCATAATTTCGGAAGGATTATAATTCAGAAAGGATTATTTTCAATGTCACAACCGTTCCATGATCGAAACAGGACATTTTTCATTACCGTCCTGGAGAATTTTCATATGTCGATTATGAAAGTTTTGATTAATTAACATGAGTGCAGGCAGGATGAATACCACTGAGATACCAAGAATTGCAGATCCAATTCTATACTCAGGAATTAGGAATGGGCATTTGTATTCTATTATTTTCTTCTTTTAATTCCATATGTTTGCTGTGTTTTTACTTCTTTTGTTTTCATACTTTTGTTTTTACAATTTTAAGCCACCCACAATCAGTTTACAAGTTGGGTGGTCATACCAAATAAAACTCTTAAAACCACGCAGGATCCTTCTCCCATCCAAAAAATTTTAACTGAAACCAATTATCTCAGTGTTTCTCAACCTTGACAATTTTAAGGCATGTGGACTTCAACTCCCAGAATTCCACAGCCAGCATTGCTGGCTGTGGAATTCTGGGAGTTGAAGTCCACATGTCTTAAAATTGTCAAGGTTGAGAAACACTGAATCTGGATTCAGCTTGGCCTGGGAACTGCCATTGGTTGCTGTGGTGGCTGACCTTTCTGGGACCTAAATGTGGGGGTTTGGTCCTCTGGTCCCTTCCAGACTTTTCAGTGGCATTTGTTATCACTGAACCTATATCTTCCTGGCCCACCTGCAAGGATTAGGAATTGGACATTAGAATGTATTTGACGGTGGTTCTACTCCTACACGAGTGGTGATACCGATCACAAATTCAGGAGGAGAAGCATTCAAGCCCTTGGTTATTATAATGTGTGGTTCCTCAGGACTCTCTCTTATACTACTTAATATCTATGTAAAATCACTGTGGGTGGTTGTCCATCTCTTAATAGGGAGGTATCTCTGCTATGCACATAACACCCATTTGTATATTGCCACCCAGGCCAAGCTGGAGATGTTGTGCTTACATCCTGAGAGGATCTGAATGGAATAAAATAATTTCAGGTTGAGTCCCTCTAAGACAGAGCTGCTATTTTTTAAATAGATCATGGGGTATCCAAAGAACATCAGTTCTCAGTGGTCATATTGAATGGAGTTTGTTCCCACTGAAGGAACTGATCTTTAAACAGCAGGATGTGCTGCTGTCAGGAATGGAGCTGGGAGCTTCAGCTGATAATCCAGTTGTGGCCCTGCTTGGACTCAGATACCCTAGCAAGTAATTTACATCTTTATAACCACTCGGCTGGACTACTGCAACATGCTATGTATAGGCTGTCATTGGAAACTACTTAGAACAGTGGTTCTCAACCTGTGGGTCGGGACCCCATTTGGGGTCGAACGACCATTTCACGGGGGTCGCCAAACAACGCAGTCCGCCATTTTTCCCCCCCTTTTCCTTAGCTGTGCTACTCCTTTTTATTCTATTGGCTTTTGAAAGCCAATAGAATAGACTCACTTGAATAGAGTCTAATTCTATTGGCTTTCAAAAGCCAATAGGAATTGTCCAGGCTGTCTCTGCCCTGCTGAGCCCGCCAAAAGTCCCATTCTGCAAACGGTGCTGCACCAGTTGAGTAGTCCTCGACTTACGACCGGTTGGGGGTCGCGGCATTAAAAAGGTTGAGAACCACTGACTTAGAAACTACAGATGGTACAAAACAGAGCAGCTAAAGTGCTAGCAATTTACTCCTAATGATACATATTTTAAGTCACTGTTTTGGTTAGGGTTCCACGTCTATTAAAAAAACCCAGAAAGTTACCTTTTAAAGCCCAACACAGCACAATATCCAGTTACCTCAGGCAATTCCTTGCTAGGACAGAATCTGCTTACCTGGTTTGATCATTAGAAGAGGATTTCAGAGTTCCTCCACTTTTTGAGGTAGATGGGTGTGGACCAGGCAGCACATCGCTTCAATGGTAGCCCCCATTTTATGGAATTCTCTCTCTCCCCAAGAGGAACACACACCTCTGAATCTCTTGGCTTTTCAAAACCAAATTATAACACTTTCATTTCACCAAATTGAATGGGAGCACTATGACATTTTTGTGATTTACTAGAAATTTTACTGTTATTAGTTGTTTGGCCTGTTGTTGTTTTAATGCTTGCAACATTAGAAATGTTGTAAAATGACTACAGATATATTTAAACTGAAGACTAAAAAAAAAAATAATAACTGAAAGGGGAGCCATCTTGCTATTACCGGTAGACAAAATACCAGTGTTTGCCATCTTCTTCCTTTCTAAAAAGTGTCTTTGAGCCCAACATAGGCTCCACAGGCAATTATCTAAAAAATATAATAAATGGGCAATTTAAACAGGACTTTGTTTTGAAGTCTGTATAAGAAAAAAAAACACAAAACAAACATAAATCTGGAATATTAAAAAGCATCCTGGAGGCCGGAAAGAAATTGCCATAAAAACATCCAATGTTTATATCCTTTCCTTTGTAATAAATAAATACCCAAGAAAAAGCCATTTTTTTGTTATCAGCACCTGTGAATCATCAACAAGTGCCCATAAGACTCTGTGGAAACTCCTATGGTTATTTTATTTTGATGTGGGTAGTAGGAGGGTTGACATTTTTCCCTCTCTGAAACTGTTAAAGACTTATAAGCCATAGTTTGTTCTTGGCTTCTAATCTTGGCTTGCCTGGGAAAGACAAGCTAGATAGTTTGCCAGTCACAATAAGCAAACCTCGTGGCTGGCTCAGGAATTCTGGGAGTTGAAGTCCACGAGTCATAAAAGAGCCAAGGTTGCCTACCCCTGGTTTAGCTAGTCCCACTAACAGAAGCTACGTGGGAGCTATTGAGCAGCATTCTTTAGCAAGCTTGCTCGTCCACAGCGAGTCAGAATTTGGGCTTACCATGACGTGTGACCACTCCTATTTTCTTGTCAGTGGTTAAGAGTTCCCCAGCACAGTCTGGCATCAGCCCTATAGAGGACAGCAGAGTCAAGGCCTTTATATATCCAGTATCTTAAAACCTTAAATGTTTTGTGAAATGAGTAGCTGATTCAATACAGCTATCGCCAATGCAACTGCAGAACTCATTTTTGAACTCAAGACAATAGTTATCATTATGAGCTAAACATCCACCTTGGACAAACTGGATTATGCCAATACAAATCCCCCTCCATTTTTTTCATGGGTCTTAAGGGAGCTTCTCTTTTTGAAACATCCCAGCTGGTCACAGTGGATGACTTGTCCAGTTGTCAAAAGAGAAGCAGGAGCGCAGAAAGTGCTCTGGTTTCAAAAGGGAAGAGACTCTTCAGAGTCTGAGCACAAGGAATCTGTTAGCAGCCACGAGAAAAGGTAGGTAATTCTAACAAAAATTTCTATTCAAATCTTTGTTAGCAGGGACAGTCTTATTTCCAAACAAAGAGCCTCCAACTGGACATCCCTCACTTCATCTTTACAACTACTTAGTAATGTAAGACTGAACTCAGAGATAGCAACCAGTTCAATCTTTTGTGAATGAGAACTGAAATAGGTTTTTCCAGCCCAGATCTATCATATGGACTTTATGCTAACTAATCAGTTCAAGCAAGAATTTTTTCAACACAGATCCATTGAGAGAAGGGCTTCCCAAACTTGGCAACTTAAAGATGTGTGGACGTCAACTTCCAGAATTCCCCAGCCAGCATGCTGGGAGTTGAAGCACACACATCTTTAAGTTGCGAAGCTTGAAAAATTAAAGCTGTATCATTTCAACTAAACTGAAATATTAAAATTAGTTTGAATATTTGAAATTTCAGTTAAGTTTATTGAGATTTTTTTAAAATTTTTGACAGGATTATACTAAGCTTGTTTGAAAGACTATTTTTCATTATTGTCTACAAAAGTCTAACTACAAAACCACAATTCCTCCCCCCCCCCTCCAAATGTGATTCCTGAGAAGTCAAGTACAACCCTTCAAATTATCACCCAAAATGATGCTGGGGGATGCAGAATTCCTGGTGGACCTCTTATGCTACTCCTCAAGTAACCATTCAGATCTTTGGACTTCTTTGACTGCCAGGTGCAAAATTAACAGCATCGGATATTTTTTAAAAAAAAAAAATGTTTACTTCTTAGCCCAACAAAGGATTCCAGAGATAAAAATGACACTAATCATTATCTTCTGAATGCCAACGAACTATATATTCTGTCCAGTAAAGAAATCCTATTAGACCTATAAGTTCTGCTCGCTATAATTCTGAAGCCTTTAGCTTCAGAGCTGAGGATAAGTTAAGAAGGTACATTCATACTTCGGTAGGTACAATGATCTCTCTAACTTTCCCAAGGAGCCAGACCTTAAATTCAAAGCTACTAATGAGGGGATTTGCAAGATGGTAAACAGGCAAAAAGCTACTGCGAGCAAGCAAGCCATCAAAGGTCAGCTTCAGGTTTGTAAAGCTTTATCGCAGAACTAAAATACGCGCAGGCTTACGTAAAGAGCGCCTCCGTTTGTTCTTTAACTTCTTTCTTTTGTTCATTCCAGCTTTAGAAGGAGACTCTTCTTTTGCCTTTGGCTGGCTGGCAACTTTTGAAGAGTTCTGCTGACTGAAGTGTGTCGGCACATGCCGAGCCAGCCCACTCTGGGAAGCAAAACTCGCATTGCATCCTCCAACAACGCACTAAAAAAATAAAATAAAATAAAATAAAATAAAAGCAAAGTTAGAGGCACTCAGTGAGGCTATCGCTGGACCAAGAAGGAACAGGCTGCTGCAGTTTTGCTTTGCTATCATCCTTTTATGAAAAGCACAACTGTGCAATCCCAGTCAACATACTGAGAAAGTGCTCACTTCAAACAGGATGTCAATTATGAAAGATTACCTTCCCTTCATTGTTCTTAATGTTAACACAGCACGCAACCAAGAAATGACAGTAGACAACGCTGGTTTCTGAACGCTACAGCGATAGCTCAGTTCCAGTGATGTGAGAACACAGCCAACAATATGAAGTCAACAGTGATGTGAGAACATAGCCAACAATATGAAGTCAACAGCTTTTTTTGTCTACTTAACAGCAGATATTAATGGATTTTGTGTGAGTGAATACTTGTTCTTTCATAAAGACACAAATCTAACAATAAGGTTAAGTCAATAAGATTAGCAAAAGTCAGTCGAAATGTTGCACTTCCTCAAATGCAGATATGATATTGTTTGCCATTATGGAAACTTGGTGGGATGAAACGCACAAATGGAATATACAGTTAGAGGGATTTAAATTATTTAAAGGAAACAGAATGAAAGAGGACCTGGAGTTGCACTATATATAACAAATAACTACATCTCTATAGAAATAGAGCACAACAATGATGAAAACTGTCTTAAATGCATTTGGGTCAATTATAAAAGGGAGGAAAATGACATTGCCATAGGGCTATACTATAGATGAACTTTCTGCTAGTCAGTTAACTAAGGTATGTAGGAAGCACATCACAATAGTAATGGGGGACTTTAATTACCCTGACATCAACTGGGAGACAAACTCTGCACCAAGCGGAAGATCAAACAGGTTCCTGACAAACCTTTGTCTCCCAAAAAGTAGAGAAAGGGACTAGCCATATTAATTCTCACTAACAGAGATGAAATGATAGAAGGTGAAACTACAGGAACCTTGGGGGGAGTGATCATGCAATATTGGAATTCAACATTATGCAAGCATTAGCAATAGAATAAAGTCAAACTAGAGTCTTGAAGCTAATTTCAATAAACTTAAGAGAGTTTGGGAAGGATTCCATGGATGAGAATCCTCAAGGGGAAAACAACCTAAGAAGCTTGGAAAACTTTGAAAAGTGAGATTATAAAAGCCCAGTCTAGTACAATACCAATGAAGAAAAATAACAGCTCTCAAAAAAAATCAGCATGGCTGCATTAAGAACACTATGATAAATTGAAAGACAAAAAGGACAAGTATAAAAAGTGGAAAGAGGGGCACATAACTAAGGCAGAATATCAGCAAATAGCCCGAGACTGCAAAGATGAAGTGAGGAAAACAAAGGCTCAAAATGAACTAAGGCTTGCGACAAAAGTAAAAAAAAAAAAAAGCTTCTTTCAACATGTAAAAAACAAGAGAAAACTCAAGGAAATGATTGGTCCACTAATGGGAGAAAGTGGCAAGAAGGGGAAAGTTTGAATAGTTTTTTGCATCTGTCTTTACACAAAAGGAAAAACCTATCAAAAACAGTACCGTAAAAAACAGATTAGGAATATAATGCAAAATAGGCTAAAAAATGGTTAAGTGAGCACCTGTCCACCCTAGACAAGTTCAAATCACCAGGATCAGATGGATTACACCCCAAGGTTCTGAAGGAGCTGGCAGACGTGATCTCAAACCACTGAACTATATCTTTCAAAGATCTTGGAGCACCAGGGAACTACCAGAGGCCTGGAAAAGAACTGATATAGTTCCCATCTTCAAAAAAGGGGAAAAAATAGATTCAGGAAAATAACCAAAAGTCAACATGGGTTTGTCAAAAACAGATCAGGCCAGACAAATCTTATTGCATTCTTTTACAAAGTGACAAAATTAGTGGACCGGAGGAATGCTATGGATATAATTTACTTGGACTTCAGTAAGATATTTGATAAAGTAGATCACAACCTACTACCTGATAAGATAGAAAAGTGTGGGCTAGACAGCATCACCACCAGATGGATTTGTAACTGGCTGACCAACGGCATTCAACATGTGGTCCTCAATGGAATTGCATCTACATGGAGGGAAATATGCAGTGGGATACCCCAAGGTTCCGTTTAGGCCCAATACGCAAAATCTTCATCAATAATTTGGAGGAGGTGATAGATGGAGAACTCATCAAATTTGCAGACAACAGCAAGCTGGCAGGAATAGCCAACACTCCAAAAGATAGGCTTAAGATACAGAAGGATCTTGACAGACTTGAACATTGGGTGCTATCTAACAAAATGAAATTCAATAGTGAAAAAAGCAAGGTTCTACATATAGGCAAGAAAAAACAAATGCACAGGTATAATATAGGTCAGTGGTGGCGAACCTATGGCACGGGTGCCAGAGGTGGCACTCGGAGCCCTCTCTGTGGGCACACGTGCCATTGCCCCAGCCTTGCCTCTGCCCACGACCCCCTTACCAGCAATCCCCCTGGAGAGTCGCCCCCGAGTGTGGCCCACGCGGAGCAGCGCAGCCAAGGACATGGCAGCCAGGCAGCGTAGACAAGACTCTGCCCTCACGGCCCAACACGCACAGTTGATGCTGCAGGGTGCGGGCAGAGGGCGTGGCTGCCATGGCGCTGCTGGGCTGCCTGGGTGATCTGCGGCGGGCCCTGGAGGCGGTGAGTGACCCTGCAGGCAGGCAGGCAGGGTAAGGGGGGCAGGGCAGGGCCAGTTTTTGGGCACTCGGTCTCTAAAAGGTTCGCCATCACTGATATAGGTGGTACCTGGCTCAGTAGTAGTAATTGTGAGAGGGATCTCGGAGTCCTAGTGGACAATCATCTAAATATGAACCAGCCGTGTGCTGCAGCTGCCAGAAAAGCCAATACAGTTCTAGGCTGCATTAACAGAGGGATAGAATCAAGATCACATGAAGTGTTAATACTACTTTATAATGCCTTGTAAGACCACACTTGGAATACTGCATCCAGTTTTAGTCATCACAATGTAAAAAAGATGTTGAAACTCTAGAAAGAGTATAGAGAAGAGCAACAAAGACTGGAGACCAAAATATATGAAGAATGGTTGCTGGAATTGGGTATGTCAAGTTTAATGAAGAGAAGGACTAGCGGTGACATGATAGCAGTGTTCCAATATCTCAGGAATTGTCACAAAGAGGGAGTCAAGCTCCTGAAGGCAGAAGAAGCAGCAATGGATGGAAACTAATCAAAGAGAGAAGCAACCTAGAACTAAGGAGAAATTTCCTGACAGTTAGAACAATTAATCAGTGGAATGCTCCAACATTGGAAGTTTTTAAAAAGACATTGGACAGACATTTGACTGAAGTGGTATAGGGCAGGGGTAGGCAACCCAAAACACTTAAAGAGCCACTTGGACCCGTTTCCCACCAAAAACAAAACACTGGGAGCCGCGAAACCATTTTGATATCTAAAATGAAGATAACACTGCACATATCCTTTTTTACCTTTATTATAGGATGTATGTGTGTGTGTATATATATATATGTATATGTATGTATGTATATATATATATACATACACACACACACACACACACACACACAAAGGTAAAAAAAGGATATATGCAGTGTTATCTTCATTTTAGATGTCAAAAGGGTCTCTCTCTCCCTCTCTATCTGCCCTTGGTCTGCCACTCCAGACCTGACAAGCTTCAGAACAAGATCAGGGGTTCGTCTCTTTTATGACTCATGGACTTCAACTCCCAGAATTCCTGAGTCAGCCTAGCTGGGCTAGCTAGCTCTAGAGACGTCCGCCCAGTTAGCTCCTTGTGAGTGCACTCTCCAATTTTTTTCAAGTTAGTCGGTTTGTCCTGCCTGAGCAGGGTATTGGACTTACTGTGGAATAGTTTTTCCAGAGTGATTTAAGCAGGTACCAATCTTAAAGTATTATTTGTTTCCCAATTTTTTTCAAGTTAGTCGGTTTGTCCTATTGTATTTTTATTCTCTTTTGAATCTGTTAATTTAAACAGACTACTGTCATATTTTAAAGGCAAGTTATTTCAGGGCAAAAGGACAATGCCTTCCCTTGAGATAAATGCATAAATATTTTAATAAATATTGAATGCAGAGATAAAAGAAAACCAGGTAGGCTAAAAAGCTTTAGAAAATAATCTACCTTAAAAGGTTTGTCCCCACTATGGGTCAACATATGCCGTTGTAACCAACTCTGACTTGTTGATGGTGTGTTATATACTTTGCAGCCTTTCCATAAGCAAACAAATACCTGGTAAGAGAAAACACAAGTTAGGTAGAAGCTTTGTTTACAAATATTTTTGACATTCAAGGTATTATTTTAACTCAATAAATTACCCCAAAACACATATTGCTGTAAAGAATGTTTGCTTTTAGTCAGGGTGGATTTGATTTAAATCAAGATTTAAATCACGATTTAAATCACTAGTAAAAAAAGGCTTGATTTAAATCATAATTTTTAAAGAGCAGCTGTCATTTCTGTCCCGCAGCAGCTCCTCCTCTGACTCACTTTTGACTCACCGACAATCCCATTCACTTTAATGGGACGGCTGGTGATGCGGCAATAACACAACAAGGTGAGGGATGTGGCGGGCAGCAGGTGAGTGGATGCCCGCTAACAGGCGCTGCCACGATGGATCTGAAATGACAGGTGCTCTTTAAATGTAAGGACTCATTCTTGCTGGTAGTTAGAATCTTTAATATTATGATTTGCAAACAAAATGAAAGTTTCCTATTTAGAATAATAAGCTGTCAGGTTAGTAAAACAGCAAAATCAGAAATAGTTTTTTTTCTATATATATCTTTTAACTGTTATTATTTTGTCTTACATTTATAGAAATCTTACTTATACACTGCAAGCTTCATTTAAATGACTGAAGCCATTCATTTCTAAGTGATATATCTGATGTAATATGTCTACTTCCATAAAGCATACAATCCTTCTCCACATGCTACATATATAATACATGAATTAACAATCACTAAAAAATTTTCTGAAGTAGTTCAGCATGGGCAAAAAATGTTTGCTTTGGTAAATCCAATGAATTCTGCATTCCAGTTCGACATACATGTTAGAATCCAATTTATGCCCATGTCGTAACTGTGTAAGAAGGCAGTTACAAGTAATTCTTGACTTATGCCCTCAACTGAGCCCAAAATTCTTGTAGCTAAGCAAGACAGTTGTTCAGATGCACCCAATTTTATGACCTGTTTGCCACAGTTGTTAAGAGAATCACTGCAGTTGTTAAGTGAATCTGGCTTCCTCCACTGATTTTGCTTGTCGGAAGCTGGCTGAGAAAGTTCCAAAAGGCGGATCACATGACCCCAGCACACTACAATTGTCATAAATACATGCCAGTTGCCAAGCACCTGAACTCTGATCACATGACCATGGGGATCCTGCAACAGTGGGAAAAGTGGTCATAAGGCACTTTTTTCAGTGTCACTGTAACTTCAAATAGTTATTAAGTGAATGGCTGTAAGTCAAGGACTATCTCTACATGCAGATAATGAAACTGTAATAGTTCTATTAATTAGGTGTATTTTATCATCCAGGTAGAATAGTGCCAAAGGGGAGCATGCTATTATCCCTGCTTTTGGTCACTAAACGAATGATCGTAAATGGAGGACTACCTGTATTTGTCTTGGAGAATCTGTGCTCTCCCCATTTCTGACTCTTACATATACATGCAGACTTTAAAACCTCCACTATTTGCAAAAGAAAATCTCTCATCATCTTCAAAATCCCCCTTGGCCTTGTTTTCCCTTCTATCATCTTGGGACAGGCGAAGCATTCACAGGAGGTCACAAAGTATGCTGGAACAAAGGACCTATCCTTAAAGTCAGAGGGACAGTGCTTTCCAGAAGTCTTTCTCTATGTTTGAAGGTGCAGAGCCACTTTACAGTTGTTCTGAAATCCCAACAAAGTGTTTCCTGTATACATACAGATGGAAACTGGAGACTTGGATGCCATTGTATAGAGCAGGGGTCCCCAACCCTCAGTTCGTGGATCGGCACCAGGCCGCAACATGCCAGAAACCGGGCCACATAAACAAGCAAAGCTCCATCCGCGGGATGCAGGCAGCACACAAAACCACGCCCCCTCCAGGACGCGAAAAACCTTTCTCCACGGAACCGTACCCTGGTGTCCAAAAGGTTGGGGGCCACTGGTATAGTTTCCAACAAAGGTGCTTTAGACCTTCAAGGAATGATTCTTTCTGATGCTGATGTGTTTTGTGCATCACTCCTCCTGAATGCATTGCAAAGCCCTAATATCCACTTTCACAGGCAAATGAATTTGCATCTCTAATTGTTAACTCATCCTATTTTACCACTAAATCTATCTATCTATTTTGCTCCTCTATTTGGAAACATGCACTAAATGTTTGTTTTGCCTTTGCTTTTATTTGGCATTATCTCAAAGCCTACTTTTTTCTATCAAGTCTTTAGGACCACCATATATTTCCCAATATTCTATTAAATTAAGAACTATATCTGTCTCTCTATTTTCACCTGTTCACCTCTTCTTCTTCTTCAGCTCACTTTTGCCTATGATAGTAAACATCTAGAGTACAAGGCATTCTTTCATACACAGGGTATCATCGTCCCATCATTCAGTATTCCTTATAATTTGTATTTCAAGTCTATTTTAGTTCCCATTCTTGGTTTTAACAGGTTTAAATTGGTTTTAAAAATACACATTATAATAGTGTATCTTTCCCCCATAAAACATGTTTAATCTTTGGTTTAACACATAGATATTATTGAAAGGACAATTTAAAAAAAACACCAACCCCTCCTCGTTGACCATCTACGTGTATAGATCGAATGTGATCTGCCAGATCTGGACTGGAGTTGAAGCAAGAATGGCACTGGTCCCAGCAGCAGTTATAAGCAATACTTTTTGCAGATGAAGTAGTCACTCCCTGTCCATTCATCATGACTGGAGTTGAACGTCCACTGGAAATTGTGCTGTCTACATCCATTATGGTACTGCTTATGCTGCAAGAAAAGGGGAAAATAATACATATTTTTTTCAATAGAGGGACAATTTTGCCAAATGCATGGTAAAATACATTTATATTTTGTCCTGCCAGTTTGTTAGAGCGTTCAAAGTCACCAGACTAAAAACCAGGAGAACATAAATTCTAGTCCTGCTTTAGGCATGACTTGAGCCAGTTGCTCCCTCTGAGCCCTAGGAAGAAGGAAATGGCAAATCACTTCCAAAAAAAGTTGCCAAGAAAATTACATGGATCACCAATGCACCCCTCCCAAAAGCACAGAACATTAATATTACTGATACACTGTACAAAGTAAATATTTATGAACCAATTATACTGATGTTATGTTTAAATGAAGCAGCAGTTTTCTCATGAGGCCTTTAACTGGTCTGGAAGATATTATTTAAAATCTTAGGTGCCAATGAAACTGAACAATTCTAGGTGCCAATGAAACTGAACAATTCATAAAGTAAGTAGAAAAGATACTATTATAGTATTATGCTTCATTCATTCCTAATTCAATGTACTCTGTAAAAGTAGTGTTTAATTTACCTTTAAAATTTACACTTTTATAAATTCACCAAAAACAACCAATTTTTCTCAGTAGCCTTTTACAATCCATCAAAACTTTGCAGAAGTGCATGTAGGAAAACCTTACCAAGCTTCTAACACGAGTATTTTATAGCTGGTCTGGTCTAACATCTTAATCAGTCTCACTCAGATATTAAATGATATACATACCGCTTTGAAGACCTAAAGGCAGAATAAAAGTAACAAATAAAACAGAGGACCTTACAACTCAGTGTAGAAAAAAAAGCCAATGAAGCTACTCAATACTCTCCAGGCACATGTAAAGTTGAGATAGCAATACAGGTGCTTCTGAATTAAAATGCTTCCAGCATTAGGTACACATAGGGGAGCGACAAGACACTCAGCAATGTTGGCAGAGTGAGGTTTTCTCTATCTTGATTTATATTATTAAAAGATATGCCAAGGATCAAGGTTGGAGCCTCATTCAAGCAAAACAAGGATCCCAAAATAAGAAACCCCAATGGACTTTCATTCTTTGATGGAATACGTTGCCTTCGTCAACAGAAGTGTAGATATATACTGGTAGTCTTTGCTTACTGACAGTAATTGGGCCTGAGAAATCCATTGCTAAGCAACGGGGTTGTAAAGTGCAATGTCACATGACTGTGCCAACTTATGGAGGCAGGCAGTCCCAGTTGCCATCATTAGCCAAGCCAAATCACACATGGTTACAGTGTCCACACTCACACAGTCACCTTATGACTTCCTGCTGGCTTCCCCACTGATTTTGCTTGTTAGAAGCTGACAGTGAAAGTTGCAAATAGCAACCATATAATGGTGCAATGATGTAATTGTGAGCTGGTTATCAAGGACATGAATCATTATCATGTATCCAGGAACAGGGACACTGATGGCCACAACTTTATGGACCGGTTATAAGTCTCTCTCGTTGAGCTTGAATGTAGCTTTGAATGGTTGCTAAATGAGGACTACTTTTAGCGCAGAGGTAAAGCAACAGACTGGGTAAATATGTTGTGCCCAATTCCCCTGTACTTGCTATCCAGAGCTGGTTATTTATTTATGAAGCCCCTACAATGGAATATCTAGTTACTCGAACTTCATGTAGACTTGTCACAGAGAGTGGGAAATATTATCAGTATTTCCCACTTAAGCTGCTTCAACCTTCATTAATAGTAATTTCTCTTACTTGTCCAGCTCATCCGTGTAAAGCAGAATTTGGAACCTTGTCAGTAGGTCCAAAGTTGTGGTACTCAAACCGTGCCCCTGAAACCATGAGAATTCCATGAAAATCTCCCTGTGTTTAACATGAGAGGTTCTATTCACATAGCATGTTATGTAGTTTTGCAATATTAACTGTAACATTTTGTTCAAATAACATGCATTACACGAAACATATTCATTAATGGATTCTACACTGATTTTTCATATAGAAAGGGATTTCTCAAGTATCTCAAGTTTGAAGACTATTGGCCTAAAGCAACATATTCTACATCATCTTTTTTCTGACCAATCCTTTCATCTATCACAGTTACTGTTGATTTTAAATTGGATAGCAATGGCTCTTACATACCACTTCACAGTGCTTTACAGCCCTCTCTAGGTGGTTTACAGAGTCAGTCTATTGCCTCCAACAATCTGGTCCTTATTTTACCAATCTCAGGATGGAAGGCTGAGTCAACGTTGAGCAGTGAGAATTGAACTGCTAATAGTCGGCAGAATTAGCCTGCAATACTGCATTCTAACCACTGTGCCACCACCGCTTTACATTGCACTCTTTGTCTTCTACTGCATTTAATGATGTTAAAGACAGTATTGTCTATTTACTATGCAATGCCCAATATTAAATGCCTATATGTGTGTGTGTGTGTGTGTGTTTGTGTGTGTATAAACTTGCTATTCTAATTCTGGGAAAAATATCATGAATTCTTGAAATATATACACTACCTTTTTAGTAAAACTAAGTGAAATACAAAGTTGCTGTATTAATAATAATTTTTATAATAATTTTCAGTTTTATGAGATTTTTATGAGATTTACTGTATCTTTTGTAAAAATCATTTTTTCTTTAACATCACTTAAGCCCTTCTTTTAGCTCAGGGGTGTCAAACAGCCGGTCCACCCCAGCTCCGTCAGTGCAACAAAAGTCATAATATGACGCAACACGTCACGCGGCGAATTTGACACCCGTGTTTTAGCTGAACCTTTATGATGTTCCAATGTTTCTTTCTGAAACTTCAAAGAACACCACAGAAATCACAATCAAGTTTAACCAGGTCAAGGTTTGAGTTGCACTTGATTTCTTATGGCTTCATGGAAATATCTGTGTGGTGTTCTTGCAACAATTTAGAATATTTTGCCACTGCCTCCTTCTCATACACATAGATGCATGAGTGTCTACTGGAGTATGTGGGGTGGGGAGTTCCAGTCTAGGCTATGGCCCTGGTATATTTCCTGGAGTTCTCACATCAAAGTACTAACCAGGGACCAATCCTGGTATTACTTGATACGGCTTTCCAATTTACAATCTTAGAAATTATTCTTGGAATTTGTGCAGCACTTCTGAAGAACATTAGCCTCAGCCAAAATTTAGGCAATCACTTAAGGCAGTAAGCAGAAGCTAGATTCTCATCACTTGGCAAAAAGTCCTGGGAGACCTTGGTGTGACTGACAAGGTTTTCTAATTCTTAGCAATGAGAAGATCGTACACACGATGATATGATGCTACTGAAATGAAGGACTAATGAGGAGAAAAGCTACTGCAACATCCTTTCATTTCTGGTATTCTGAAAGAACTGCCAGTCTGCAAATTCTCAAAGGCATTTGATTTTCCTTTACACCAAGCTCTGAATTCTATACTCTAGAAGCTTTATTTTTTTCTGCATAGAAGTTTACACTCTGTATTAAAAGCTGCAGTGAGAAACATTCAGCCATAAAATATTTTACTATAACTTAAGCTGATATGGAAGCTATAATGAAGTAAATAGCATTTGTCAGATCAGAGGCTCAGAACGCAGACAGATTTAACAGATTTCCAAACACACTTTTCTTTGATTAGGACATCAGTTCTAAATACCATACTGAACACATCTGAGACACATGTGTTCGGTGCAATAATAAATCAGTTGCAAAGAAAAACATCGATGTCTTTTCAGAAAAACACAGTAGTCTTGAGCCAAAATTGCCACTTCGCTTCTAGTCCCAAAAAAGATCCTTAGATTTATGTCAAGTTAGCCTTCCTGTTACATATTTCCTATTATATTCCACGCCAATGCAAAATTTCCCATCATTTCAGAAGCAAGCTGTAGCAGAAGCAAAATGCAAATAGAGCTCACCATTAGGAAGGTTGGGTTACCTATTATTCTCCAATTTTAGTGTTTCTCAAAATAAACTCAGACTAAATTGTTTTCATCATTAAGAAAAGCATCTGAATGTGGTCACTCAGTTAACAATTATAAGCCACAATGCCATCCGTAGTTAATCTGGATACCTGTTATTTATTAGATTTCTAGACTGTTTATGTTTATTTTAATTTTTGTCTACTGCTGAGAGCATGTAACTCTCAGCAGTAAGCAAAAATTAAAATAAACATAAAATGGCCCCACAATGCCAACTATAATAGCAACACAAAAATTAAAATCAGCAACCTAATCAAGGCAATATAAACATTCCTATGTTCTCGCAAACTAGTTGGGAAGAACTAGTTTGGAAGAACTTGGCCAGGATTGTATGCCTATCAACTAATCCATCTGCTAATGAACGTTCTTGCTTGCCAGATTAATCTTTGTGAATGCACCTCCCTCCCCCAAAAGCTCTGCTAAGGACTGAGATGTACAATCATGTCAAGCTCAGAGCAAATTTCTGCATTCCAACTTCAGAACAAAAGTTGACTGTCTGAGTGGCAGCGTTTCAAGTTTTCCAGTCAAAGAAAGCAAACCCAAAATGTACCATTTTGCTCGTGGAACTGGTCTTTTCAAGTGTTCTGAACTTGAAAAAAAAATGTGTATGTTTTCGCATGTATTGTTGTTCTGTTGTGAATTCAGAATGTATTCACCTACTTCTTTTTTAGCAAAGGATAAATCTTTATGTAAAAATACATTTAATCGATTCATATCAAGAAAGCTATGTTCGAACTTCATCCAGTATTCAGTTTACAACAAATGGCTAAAAAGAAAAATTCTATAAGCACTACATAATTATTAATTGTATCTTTTCACCTTATAAAGTATCTTATAAGCTAGCATGCGTCTATTTCCATTTAAATATGCAAGTGCTAGTGTCCCCATGTCCACTGTCTTTCTTGATCCCCATTTTCCTTTTTCTTAATACGCCTTTATCTAAAATTGGAAACTTCCAGGTAGAGTTTCCAACAGTTTTAGGTTTGTATTTTTATATTGTGCAGTGTTTGTTTTAGAAATAAGACTATTGCAACTATTTTATATTAAAAGACAA